ACAGAAAGCCATGGCATTAGCATCTTTTCCGTATTATTCTGCAGCCCGTTCCTTAAGCAGGCGGACATTTCAGTACACTGTATTGCTTTCTGCAGGGAGGTCTTACTCCAGCTCTGATGCTGGACCAGCTCATTCACAGAACTGCTGATGGGAAAATCACTAAGCCATTGGGAGAGGGAATAATTAGAGCTGGTTTCAAGCCTTCAGCCCAAACTCCCCACACCTACGCGTAAGCAGTTGTTCACTTAGCGGTTAATGGCAGCAGCCCAGCTGCCGCTGCCAAGCCTCTGGGTAGTCTGACTGCCTGCATCATGAAGTCATTAGCCCGGCAGTATGTTTGTTCAGAGCAGTTTGGAAAACTGAAGGGTGGCCCCAATAAATGGATTCACTCCTTTATACACCATGGATGGAGCATGACCCCTGGAGCTCTCAGCCCCAGCAGGACGTGGCGATCTACCCTGCAGTCAGAGGGGGATTGCAGCAGCATGTGTAGACATACCGGAGCTAACTTCGGTCTAGCTAGCGGTAGCTAGTAGTGATGCTACATAGTGATACAGTCGTGATGCTGCAGCATGGGCTAGTTTGCTCAAGTATGTATCCAGGGCTCTGGGCGAGTGTGCCCAGATCAAAGTGAGCTCAGGTATGTCTACATGTGCTGCAGTCGTACCTCTGATTGCAGTGTGGACAGACCTGGAGATTGTTTCAAAGGGATAAAACGGTAACTGTTGTTCTTCGAGATGGGTTGCTCACGTCCATTCCATTCTAGATGCGCATGTGCCCACGTGTGCGGTCGTCAGAGATTTTTGCCTTAGCGGTATCTGCGCGGTCGGCTGTGGCGCCCTCTAGAGTGCCGCGTCATGCGTCGGTATATCAGGCACTGCCGGCCCATGCCCTCTCAGTTCCTTCTTGCCGGCAACTCCGACACAGGGGCAGGAGCGCAGGTAATGGAATGGACGTGAGCAACACATCTCGAAGAACAACAGTTCCGACCGTTTTTCCGTCTTCGAGCGCTTGCTCATGTCCGTTCCTTTCTAGGTGACTCACAAGCAGTGTCAATGGAGGTGGGCTCGGAGTTCAGGGTCCTGCGGCTTGCAGCACTGCTCTGCCAAAGCCAGCAGCGTCTCGAGCTTGTAAGTGCATAATGAGACGTGAACGTGTGGACAGACGACCAGGTAGTGGCCCTACAGATCTCTTGGATCGGCACCTGTGCCAGGAAGGCCGCCGATGATACTTGCGCTTTAGTCGAGTGTGCCATCACGCTTGCCAGCAGAGGCATTTTTGCCAGCTCATAGCAGTGGTGGATGCAGGCCATGATCCAGGATGAAATCCTCTGCTCAGACACTGAGCCACCTTTCACCCTGTCTGCTACCGCAATGAACAGCTGCGTTGACTTGCCAAACGGCTTTGTCCTGTCGATGTAGAAGGCCAGCACCCTCCTGACGTCCAGGGCATGCAACCTGCGTTTCTCTTCCGATTTATGAGGCTTTGGGAAAAAGACAGGTAAGTATATGTCCTGGCCGGTATGAAACTGGGAAACTACCTTGGGCAGGAATGCTGGGTGCAGCTGCAACTGGACCTTATCCTTGTAGAATACCATATAGGGCGGCTCTGAAGTAAGCTCCCTGATCTCAGACACCCTGTGGGCAGACGTTACCGCAACCAGGAACGAAACCTTCCAGGAGAGAAGAAGAGGAGAGCAGGAAACCAGAGGCTCGAAGGGAGGCCCCATGAGCCGTGACAGCATGAGATTCAAGTCCCAGGGAGGGACCGGATCCCGGACATAAGGGTAGAGATGCTCCAGACCTTTCAAAAACCGGGCCATCGTATCATGAGCGAAGACTGACCTGCCTTGGAACGGAGGGTGGAAGGCTGAAATCACGGCTAAGTGGACCCTGACTGACGACAGGAACAATCCTTGGAGTTTGAGGTACAGAAGATAATCCAGGATCACCTGCAGCGAGGCCTGTTCGGCCCGGATATGTCGTTCTGAGACCCAGCACGTGAACCTTTTCCACTTGGCCAGGTAGGTCGCTCTGGTGGAGGGCTTTCTGATACCCAGTAAGACCTGTTGCACCCGGGCCGAGCATTCCTGTTCTTCTGCATTCAGCCATGCAGTGGCCATGCTGACAAGCGCAACGCCTCCAGGTTCGTGTGCAGGAGACTGGTGTGGTCCTGGGACAGCAGGTCTGGCCAGAGAGGAAGCCGCAGACGGGTGGCTACCAAAAGGTCCAGCAGGGTGCTGAACCGGTTCTGTCGAGGCCACACGGGGGCTATCAAGATAACTTTCGCCCTGTGCTGTTTGATCTTCACGAGGGCTCAGTGGATCAACAGCACCATCAGGAAGGCATAAATCAGGGCACCTGACCATGGGAGCAAGAAAGCATCTGACAGGAAGCCCCTGGAGTGAACAGGACATGTGGCATTTCCTGTTCTGATGGGACATGAACAAGTCCACCTTGGGAGTTCCCCACTTTTGGAAGTTCATATTAGCCGCCTCTGAATGGAGTGACCACTCGTGGCGAGATGAGAAGGTCCTGCTGAGGCGATCTGCTAACACGTTCCCGGTCCCGGGCAGATGTGCGGCTACCAGATGAATGGCCTGCCACACACAGAAGTCCCAAAGGCAGAGAGCTTCTTGGCAAAGGGCCGACGACTTGCCTCTGCCCTGCCTGTTGATGTGATACATTGTGGCGGTATTGTCTTTCAGGGCTTGCACCACCTTGCCCATCAGGCGGGGAAGAAAGCCTGGCAGACCAGACGAACCACTTTGAGCTCCCTGACGCTAGCCCTTGCCAAGCAAGGAACAGGCGCTCCGACTAACCACCACGGGTGATAAGAAGGAACTGAGAGGACATGGACCGGTGGTACCTGATATACCGACGCATGAACGCGCCACTCCAGAGGGCACCACAGCCGACTGTACAGATACCGCTAAGGCAAAAATCTCCGATGACCGCACATGTGGGCGTGCGAGCACCTAAAATGGAATGGACGGGAGCAAGCACTCATAGAAGAAGAGTAATTTTCTGATGTGCTGATATGGATAACGAGATCTCATGACATGCGGCATAAGCCGTTGCCGTAGTCAGGAAAGACTCCATGCCTGCCCACTCCCCACCCCATATATCTGGAACAGTGGGGGCACGCCGGCCTCGATAATATCATGCAACAGCCACTGCTAGAGGCTGACTAGTGGCCTTGATGCAGTAATGTTCTGTCCCCAAATAGCAATAAGGGAGCTATCGGACTGAATGGGCCACATTTCTGAGCCGGCTTGGGAAAGTTGGTTATAATAGAGGGGAAAGGGTTTGACGTCACTAATATAAACCAGCAGTGAAAGAATGATTCACTAGACTCCACCACAGCACTGCAACATCACGTTAGCAACATTGCCACTTAAACGACTGGCTTCCTCCTCTGGCAGCCAGGTCTGGACACCTGGGGTCATCAACAATCAGGCAGCATCACCTCAGCCTCGTTTTGCCATGAACACAGCTGATTGCTGGGAATTCTGAAGTCTATAACATGGGAGCCTTGGTAACAAACCAGTGGGATGTGGTCAGATGTCTCCTTTGGGAAGCAGACAGTGCAATTGCTGCCAAATCGTTCACCAGCATTATCTGCCAGTGAACACTTGGGCTTATTAGCTAGGAAAGTCACACGTTCGGGTCCTGAATTCAAATCAGTTAGTAACTGCGCTGCATCACCTCACCCATCCTCCATCTGTAGAGGCAGGAACATCGTAGCGGGTTGGCTAGGACAGGGACCTGCTGCTGTAATTCTTTGGGAGGGACACTTTAGCTTATTACTGCCTGAAAAGCTCCTAACACGCGGTTGGTGTTAGATGCAAGGCTCGCTGATGGGCACCGCAAAGATCAATTATCCAAGAGGCATTGCAAATGACAAGCAAAGCGCCTGCCTTATTAAAGACGCTTTTGTGTAAATTATACATGATTTCATCATCCATGCGCTTTTGCCTGTATAGGTAGTTCCTTGCGGCGTTCAGCACATCACCACACCCCTCGCATCCCCCGTGAGCACTGCCATTAGGCTCTCTGGATACTTAGACAGGAGCTCAATCATTACTGGATGGTCATTTCTATTCTCTGGTGGCCTCTCACCTGGTTGTTAGAAAGCAGAAATCTGCTTAGCACAGTGCATTGAGCATAGCTGCAGAGATACCACCTTGGGTTGAGGTCCCATCAGTTCTGACAAACTCCGAGGGTTGGTCCTGCTCCGTCTCTGATGGCAGAGTGTCAAGGAAATCCCAGGGTACTGCAGGAAGTGGGACTGGCCTTTTAGCAGGGGGTTTCTTTGACTCAGTGGTGCTAGGTGACCGCGCGCTGCTGAAGGCATCGTCTTCTGGCTGAATCACAAATCCAAAGCGCTGACCACTCATGGTCTTCAAAACCAAAGGCACTTTGAAGACCATCTCCTCCTTCCCCCCCCCCACCCAGGAGACCTAGCCAAATTCCAACGCTGGTGATTACATTAAATTCTTCCTGCACTTTCAGCGGGGTGCAGTCATCTTCACTTCCTGTTTTGTAACTATTGTTAGGGTTACTGTGAACCATTAAACAGCTGTCACGTTCCACCCCAGTGGTGGCAGCATTCCGGTGGTGTGTGAAGGGATCCCTATATGTAATTATAAATGTATTATTAGCAGCCTTCCACCACGCAGCCCTTCCTAGACTCAGCTCCCATGCCCAGGTATTATGGTCTCTTTTGTGGCAAGATGAGCAAGGACTTGTGATGTGCTGAGCACAAAACTTAATTGGGTTGCACTCGGCTAGACCATGTAGAGGGGAGCTGCTGTCACTCTAAGGTGGCTGAAGTGTTGCTATGGAGACCATTAATTAAACACAGCCTCTCGCCTGATGCTATCTAACTAGAGCAGCCCGGATAACAAGGTCTATCTTTTTATTTAGCCCTCCTCACACGTTGGCACAACAAACACCCAGGGACCGAAAACAAGCCACAGAACACAAAGCTCCCAGCGATCCATGTTTAAATGACTTTATTTTTCCTTTTATAAATGGGCACAGCACAGAAATCATTAAAAAAAATAGACAGTACCATTACAGTGCTAGATCCATTGGCAAAGATTATTTTGTAGTCTTTATTATTAATTATTATTATTATTTTTAAAGTTTTGGCCATTGAGTCAGAACAAAAACAATTAACAAACATTTTTATTTATGTTATTTTCGTTTTTAACAGACACTATGAAGCAATTTCCGTACTAAACTCTAGGAGAGTTATGTACATACAAAAAAAAGTTCTGTTTAAGATATGTTTCCTATTAAAAATATTTACATGCATTTTTTTTTCCTCCCCAGTTGTTGAATAGTAAAACACTATAATTTCAACTGCTGCCAAAGACTTTTCATTCTCCTAGTTGGGCTTTTGAATCAGCCCCAAAAAGGAAAGTGAAGATTTATTATTTAAATCTTCTGGAAAGAGATGGGGGGATTGGGTTTTTTGTTTTTTTGTTTTGAATGTATATCAATGGTTTTGTTTTTAAATGTATACAAGTCGGCTTTGTGTTTATTTACAGAATAACCAATGGGTGGCATTTTATCCCGGAGACATGGTGTTGAACGTTAGTATTAGATAAGTACATTGCTTCATAAGTGATTTTGAAAAGCAGATTTACCAAACAATGTGGAGATATATATATTATTATTATTTGTTTTGTCTGGTTTGATTGTCAACTGTACGTTTATGACTTAGACCTCTGGGAGCCAAAACAGAAAGTCACTGCTCAGAAAGTCACTGGTACCCTTGAGGGGCTTTGGAAATGCATTGAGCAAGATCTGGTGGCAGGATCTTAAACTTTCCAAAAAGGTGCCACTCCAGACTGAGTTTTTCTGTAGCTATTTAGGATGTCCACTGATCTGGAGGCATAAGACACTTGGGGTCAGAAGGGAATAACTGAAAGCTCTGTGTAGGTTTACCTGATCGATCTTCCTCTGTGTCTGCACTGGACAAAGAGGTGGAGGAAAGGGAAAGTCGGCAGATGCAATCCCCTGGAAAATGGTTCTGAATGGCCTGACACTATAACTGGGCACGATGTGTTGAGTTGCCTCTAGGCCCCTTGTACAAAACCCACCAAAGTCAATGGGAGGCTGTGCATTAGCGTCACCAGGCTTTGGCTCGGGCCCTTGCTGAGAAAGGGTCAAGAAAGGAAAAAGGGGCTAGATTCTCTTCTGATGTCAACTGACTCCCATGACTGAGGAGCGGCTCCAAAGTCTCTGCAGAATTTAGCACTCTTAAATCTACAAAGCCAGCCAATAGTGTCCCCGCTCTCAGTTTACGTAGCTGGCTTGAATTAAAGCTCTCTCTGTGTGTACACATGAGTATATATGTATATACATATATAAGTTACATACATACATATATTCTTCTAAGAGTTCAGACCTGCAGCCGGCTAGCTTTTCCCTCCAAACACTGGACTGGATTTGTATTTGCTCAGGACTGCAGAGCAGCTGGCCATGTGCCTAACAAGACTCGGTTATTCTAATAAATGTTTCAGTGCCGAAAGCTTTTCAAAGCCTGGAAGCCCAGAGAGCGCTGCAGACTAGGAACATTTATAATAATAGAAGGAGGAAAAAAATCCCTTTTCATTTTGAACTAACCACTTTAAATGGAACAAAGCCTCTGTGAAGGAGGGGGAATCAGATTCTGGGCTAGAGATTAGCTACCATTGAATTATACCAAAAGCTAAAGGCTCAAACTGAGCAAGGCAGGTTACGATAGATGGGACCTTTGTCATTCTAACAGAAGAACAGCCTACGGAACTGTCAATGTACAAGGAAACTCTGCAGCCTGTGGCAGGGCCCATTATTGACTCTGGTCCAGATTCTGCTTGTGTTTACACTGGTATAAATCTGAAGTGGCTTCACTGCAGAGCACCAGTGCCACTGAAATCAGACTCGGGACCACTGAGGCCAGCGAGGCTAGGAAACATTGGACCCGGTTTCAGCAATGTTCCAGCTGTCGCTGTGCTAGCCCTTGTGTAGAGAGGGCTCTGAGATTTGGGCCAGGCTTTCAGCACACCTGAGCCCTGGTTTCCACCACTGCAGCTGCAGATTCGGATTCTGAATGCTCCGAAATTCCTGTGCGCGCGGACCCCTGGTTCGGGGAAGTCCAAGGGGTCAGTCATCAAAGCGGATTCAGAATCAGAACCCCTGCAAAGCTCAGGGGGGAATCCAGCGGTTTGATTTGAGCCCTTCTCTACATCAGGGCGTCTGCCTGCAGTCATGGCATCCCCTCAGGTTCTGCTCTGCTCACCACCCAGAAAACCTCTCGCAAAGCCAGGCAGCAGAAAAGGACAGAATTGGAAGAGTGGCCTTAGGGTTCGAACGTGACTATGGGGAAAAGTTACTTTCCAACTTAATCGATTACCTCCTTCTGTGTCTTGCGTTAGGGCCACATGATCTTCCGAAGTGCTAAATGCCTACAGCTCTGGGTGAAGGTGACGGGAGCTATTGATACAGGCTTTGAGAACGAGACCTCAGCTGAACAAATACCTCCTTGCCGAGCTAATACAGCCGGGGATAGGGAGTCCTCTGTGGCCAGAGCCTTGTCAGCTAAGCTCTGATTTCAGCGATTAAAGACCGTCCATCACCTTAGCATGTGGGCTACCCAAAAAGGGATCCCGAAAAGCCAATCCTGCTGCTGCTGGGAAACAAGCTACATCCAACTGACTTTCCATTGGCTAGCTGGTGTTAAGCCACAAGCCAGGACAAATACCTGCACCTTCCACCATGCATCAGCAGCATCCAGCCTTTGATTGACACCTGGAAGAAGAAAGTTCCACGGGTCAGAAGTTCAGTTAAAACAGGGCAACAGACTGTAACCGCCCGGGTTCGAAGGGGGAGTGACTGCAGGGTCAGAAGCGCTCTTGTGAATTCAGAACCCCTGGGGCTGGAGGACAGCTGCGTCCTGGGCTTGCTGAAGCTTTCCAGGTGATCATCAAGACATGCTCTGTACTGCAGGTCATGAGATAAGAGGCAGCAGGCGCAGAGCCAGAACTTCAGATGTGGAATCACTGAAATCCCATTTTGAGGTTTCTTTCTTGACTACGAGCCCATTGGAGCTGAGGGCACTCAGCACCTCACCGAATTAGGCCCTATAAACCAATCAGCATTTGAAGCAGGTAGGAAAGGGAAGCAGAGAAGGTAACCAGAGATTTGCACCATGTCCCCTAGCCACACAAGCCCAGGGTGTGGTAAGATGCTGCCTTACATGGTACCTATCGCCAGTTGATTTTCATAATGCCTTTCCTGTTTCATTACCGGATCAACAGCTGGGGAAAACCACCTGCTTTTCACCCTCCCCGCCCTTTGGTCAAGGCTCACACCCGGAGTCCCACCAAACCCCCTGGGGAAACTCATATTTCTTCATGTGTTGATAGCAGGATTTTCAAAAGCACCCAACGGAGTTAATCCTCCAGCTTCCATTGACTTCCAATTGGGTCCCACAATCCTAACCCCACTGAAATCAAGAGGAGTCTTTCCTATCATTCTGATGGGCCGTGGATCAAATCCTTGCAGCATCTGATTATTGACAGCTCTTGGATGATTTCCTCCAACAAATGAAGATACAGGAAGCCACATTCATGGTATAGCTACTTCCAGTCCTGCAGCCCATGCACAGAAGAGAAGACATCAAACACATCTGGAATGATTATTCCTAGCTGTTGATTCTTACATCTACCCTTTCACTTCTGGATAGCTGAGACGGTTGGAAGGGCCTATTGGTGACTGATTTTAAAAAAATTTTAAAAAGAAAAGGTGTGCTACAAACCAAGATAAAAATCTCCTTGAGATCACATCTACTTTCCAGTCCAAGAGAGACACAGAAAGCGAGTGGTAGCAGCAGCTACTGGACAATAAATTAAGACATTGGTCAACTCTGATCAGTGTTTTAATTAACAATATTTTTGTCTTTTTGTACTTTAAATTCTTTTAAGAGAAAGCAAAGAAGGATTTTTCAGCCTGCTCTAACACTCACATTTTGAGATCGTTACTCCCTTCCGAACCTGTAAAAGATTTAAGTATCAGGATTACAACTTAATACCAGCTGAGAGGTCTAATGTGGATTAAAAAAAAAAGTTGTATTACAGTACTTCAGACTATTAAGGGAAAAAATAGAATGGAGCAGATTAATGAGGAAGCTGAGAAAAGCAAAATTTAAAAGATAAAGCTTGGAGGTTTTAATATATTCTCAAAAGAATTAGGACCTTGTCTTTCAAAGGGGACTAATGATTTTTGGTTGCCTCAGTCTTTGGGGCGCCCAAATTGAGACACCTATAAGGGCCTTGATTTTCAGAATCCACCCCGGAGAATTAGCCCCCTTTAAGGTCTCAATACAGTACCTAGAAATAAAGACACTCAAAATCAAAGTCCCTTTTGAAAAATCTCAACCTAAAGCTGGTGGGGGGAAAAAACCTCCATCCAGATTTGCACCAAACCTTGAAACATTTGGCTCTCACCTCCTGGCAGCCCTGGAGGGGCCTTTTCCTATGACTGACAACCTCATTCCGCTGTCAGTTACACCGGGATCAATCAGGAATAACTCTGCTGACATCAGTGGAGTTACACTGGTGTGACATCAGAACCAAGCCCGGGGTGTCATTCTTGTGCCTTTCACCAGATACCAGCTGGTATCACCGGATGTTTGCTTTGGCCACAATTCTTCTCTCCCATCCACATGCCAGAGTCGCTTTGTTCTCTGGGATATGCTGAAACTTTTTCTGGCTCCAAGAGCAGATTGTCCCCGGCGCAGCCCACTAAGACAAGTCCCCAAGGTCCCTCGCAGAGCATATCCTGTTCCCAATTACGTATGCCCGCACGGATCCACGAGAGAGTTCCATGGGTCACAACAGCTTCAGGTTGGTTATTTGTGGGGATTGACCCAAGCACATCAGAAGGTAAATGCCTGTGTCTATACTGCCTGAGTTAAATGCTCACATTAGCCCATAGCCACTAGTAGACTGATAAACCTCCACTCACGAGTCAGCCGTTGGAAGGGTTCAAAGAGTCAGACTAGAAGGTGACTGACTATAGGTGACATAAGGATGTTGGCTGCTTTTTTTTATTATTATTTTTAATTAAATACAATAGCAAAGTCAGGGCCCCAAAGGAACATGGTCCAGATCTAAATCATCTTTTAAAAAACCCAGTTTCCTTAACTGTATCATGAACAGCGCTTTTGATTATTAAAGCCGGCCAATTCAAATTTCTCACTGAATGTTCCACCCTAAGGGCCCAGTCCCTCGTGCCACTTATGTCCTTTCCAGCTTCAACGCACCTCAGATGATTCAAAACACATTAGTCAGTTTGATGGTTGCTTCTAGTTGGTTTCCCTTTTGGGCTCCCATGCAAAGCTGACCCAAAGCCCATTGGAAGTCAATCGGGTCCTACCGTAGCTGTAAAGTTTAGACCGGAGTTTTAAAAATAAAAACTAAAAGAAATAATGGAAACATATCAATCTTGGATTTAATAAACGATACATCATGGAGCTAAGCTGACCTGACAGTGACCCTTGAATACCTACCGTTGTCGCCTTTATTTTTTTAATTTCCTGCGGTATCTGCAATTTGACATGAGCTATCACCAAACAACATCTGAGGAGAACGGCTGCAAAGCGCGGCTTGATGAGGTCTGTGAAATATTATCACATTCAAAGGAACACAGAAGACCTCTTATAGCCTTTTGTTGTTGTTCTTGTCAATCGCCCCTGCCCCCATTATCCTGTTTCCCTTAAAACCATCAGCGCTGGTTGTTTGCAAAGAGCGGGAATACTGTGCTAGCTGAGTTTTATTCGTCACAGTGAAAACCCAGCAAAAGCAAGGTCCCTTTCAACCAAGCCCCTTGCCAGCCCACAAAACATGGTTCCTATACACTTAAGGTCTCTGGCTGTGCACAGCAATGCAATGAAGTGAAGCGGTGTGAGGAAGGGAGCCCCACACAACTGTAAAACGGGGCTCCCTGCAGCTATGTGAACTTTCTGAGGAGGTGATCTAAAAGCTCCTCTCCAGCCCACTGGCCATTTTTCATTCCGAGAGCAAACCGCAGCATTCGCTGTTTCATCTCATTGTGCTTTTTCAAGGCTTGACATTGTATTTGACAGTCGCATCCTCTTTCCGAATAGAGCCATGGAGCAGCGATTCCCAGTAAGAAACCAAACCTGCAACCCCACAAAAAGAAAGAAACCCTTCCCTCTCCCCAAATTCCCACCCCTACCCCAATTCTGGTAACAGGTGTTCAGATCTCAGAGTCAGTCGTGTTGTTTGGTAAACCCAGGAAACTCCAACCATCATCAGGAAAATGACCACCCAAGCATGCTCTCGTCTGAGGAGTGTTCGCATAGGCACTGAAAGTTGGCTGCCCGTTCGCTCCTCACGCTTGCTGTCCCCTGCAAACGCTGTGTCCGCTGGAGAAAGGTTACGGTATTCGTGTTAAATCGGTGACACTTTATTTGTATATTTTTAAACTGAAGATGTTTTTTTTTCTTTTTATTATAGTGTTTGTTTGTTTGTTCAACTCACAGTCCCATCAGAAAGAGAGCGCGAAAGAGAGATTGGATGGGGGAGGGTGGGGGCAGAGGGAGGTTGAACCAGAAATCGAGTGAAACTGAGAGAGAGGCACTCTGGGCTCTTTTTATGCATAGAACTCCTCCTGCTTGTCGGGCTTTTGGTATGTGACGTTCGCCTGCTTTGGCTCCTCCAGTGTGTAGCTCCCTTCGTCCTTCTTCTTCATCCGGTAGATGAGCAGCATGACCAGAAAGGCAGCAAAGAGCGCCCCGACCACACCGCCCACGATGACAGCTGCAATGGAGAGCAAAGGAAAGAGCCGGTCAGTGAGCAGGACAACGGGGTCTCCTGGCCACCAACAGCACTGCTGACCGCAGGCATCCAAAAATCACCAATGGAACCCCCCCCCCCCAGGAGATTTAACAATAATAAATTGGGGGCCTTTTTATTTGCCTACCTCCCTTTCTGCCCCTACCCGCCTCCCAGTCAACTGCGTGGAGTTCAGGGTGGTGAGGGGTCTCTAGGGCCTTTTGCAGAGGTTTCGAACTCCCCGTCAGCACCAGAGCATCAGGCCTCACCTATTAGCACTTCTTTCCTCTCCAGGATGTTTTTCTGGGGGAGCTGGGCAGCCGAGTTCCCAGAGTCTATCGTATTGTCTATGAGGCCAGGCTCTGCATTCTTCCCCAGCCCCGGCCCTGCTGCCGGGGTAACCGCGGCGATCACTTCGTTATTGAGCTCCGTCAGAGTCGTGTCTTCCTCCTCACGGATTTCAAAGTCCCCGCTGGGCCCTCCGCTGACAGGAACCTCCAGCTCGTTGTCGAGGGCCGTGGACACGGTCACGTCCAGCGGCTCGGTCTGAGGAAGGGAACGAGACGGAGGAGGAGAGAGTCAGTCATCCAAAGGCTTGGAGGACAAACCGTGAGGAGGAACAGCTTTGAGCTTCACTCTGCCTTTCCCCTGCCAGATCTCCCCAGCTCCATTCCCGCCCCCGTCCGATGCAGCGAGAGAGACTTTGGGACCCAAGGCAACTATTGCAGTGTGGCACCACCTGGGGGCAGGTGAGTCGGGCGGGCTGGGTTCAGTCCAGCCCATCTTACAGCTTCCTTGAAATGTCCCGCCAGATCACAAGGAGCATTAGACATCCCCATCTTTGGGGATTTTTAAGACCAGGTTGGGGAAGGGATAGCTCAGTGGTTTGCGCATTGGCCTGCTGAAACCCAGGGTTGTGAGTTCAATCCTTGAGGGGGCCACTTAGGGAGCTGGGGCAAAAATCTGCCTGGGGATTGGTCCTGCTTTGAGCAGGGGGTTGGACTAGATGACCTCCTGAGGTCCCTTCCAACCTTGATATTTTATGATTCTAACATCTGTCAGGGATGGTCTAGATAATACTTAGTCCTGCCTTGAGTGCAGAGGACTGGACTTGAGGTCCCTCCAGTTCTATGATTCTATCTTGGCTTACACCAATAAGCACCCAGCCTTTAGCCTGACCCAAACCTCGCCTCCTCCCCTCCTCCATACCCCCAAGCGTTTTAGAGCTGCTCAGAATCCCAGCCTAGATCTGGACCTGAACCTTGCAAAGAGCTCGTCTTCATAATGGACCAAACTGAAATCTTGGATCCCAGCTTCTCCGGAGCACTAGCATTTATCATCGCTCGACTTTCTGGCCGAGAGCGGATCGAAAAACGGAAAGACAATTTGGTGCAAAAAGATCCGAAATTGTTTCCATTTCACGGGGTTTGAAATCAGCCATTTTTCACAAAATATTTTTCTGAAACATTCCAATTTTTTCCTTGTTGCCATTGAGTACAACACAGTGATTTATGTCTTGGGTTTCTGGTTTTATTTCTTGTTGCCCCCTGTAATTTTTCACAACTTCTCCAACTTGCAAGAGCAACTGAGTGGCAAAAGGGGAAAAAATGCAGAAACGCTCCTGCGCTGAAACTCATTCAAAACTGGAGACGTTTGAAAAGCTGCAGTGTCTAAAAAGGGGAGGGGTGGGGAATACCTCTAGCCATGAGTCGGGGAAAATCCCCAAATCGAAATTTCAACATTTTGAACATTTTTCAAACACCAAAGCAAAATTTTCAATTTGCGACCAAAGGTAACAAAAAGTTGTGTTTCTGTCTGGAATTTCCCATCCAAAAATGTTGTTGAAAATGCCATTTTCTTGCTTTTTTTCCCCCATTTTCGATAAAACTGCATTTTCTAGTGGGAAAATGTTGCAGTTTAATAATTTAGACTGGCTCTATTTATTACTCGGGTCACCTCCTCCCCTCTGCGTGCATGGCGCAGGGCCTGGGGCAAACTGCGTCGTCTCTGCTGCCTGCCACAGCTGGTGCATGAGAAAACGGTTTGTTTCAAAATTGAGCTAGTTCTATTTAAAAACAAACCAACGACAACAAAAGGGGAAAGGGGGGGGAACACCCACAGAGGAAATGGAAAAAACAAAAAATAAAATAAACGTAAATTTCAAATCGAATGAAATGGAACAAAATGTTTCGTTCTACGCAAAATGATTTTTGGTTTAGGCCACTGAACTGAGAAGTCCATGATTTGCTCAGCTCCAGCAGTGGGCTTGGCCCTTGGACTTCACACGCTCCAGAGCCTGCAGAGATAGACTCCAAAGGCAGAGAGGCAGGTGTGGTTTTGGATCCACTCCTGGTGGTTTTCCCTGGTGGGGTCAGTAAGTGCCTGATTCTGCCCTTGTGCTTGGGGCAGGGTCCTGAGAACTGCGGGGCTGAGTGAGCCCAACGAACAGTCATCGTCAGAAGGGTCTGTCCTCACGGGCTAGCGTCTGTCACAACAAAATTCAAGAGTTTGAGGGCACCGGAGAGCTCCCCAGCCTGGGTCCAATCCTGTGCTCTGCCCCGAGGGGAGCCAAGGGGCCTCTTCCCTGTCTCCCTTCAGCCACTCTTAGAGCCTGGCCCCGGAGCTACTGGCAGATGAGCTGGAGTCACAAGCTCGACTTTGCTGGGGACGGCGTTGTGGCCCCAACACCCTGTCGCACACCTGACCCCAACATCCCTCCGCGACAGGGCAGTTCCCGGCTGGAGCCAGACTCTGCATCTGGGCCTGTTTTGCTTTCCATCTGCAGGCCAACCTACCCGCTGGCCCCCTGCACGCCCGATCCCTGTGGGCCAACCTACCCGCCGGCCCCCTGCGGGCCCGATCCCTGTGGGCCAACCTACCCGCCGGCCCCCTGCGGGCCCAATCCTGCTGAAGTTCCATTAGCTGAGCTGCTACAGAGCCAGTCCCCCTCCCCTCCCCAGCCCCTCAGGAGCAATGCCTGGCTCCCCAGTCACCGCGATCCCGGTGTTCACTATCAGGACCTGCCAGAGCCAGCGGGTAGGTTGGCCCGCGGGGATTGGGCCCGCGGGGAGCCGGCGGGTAGGTTGGCCTGCAGATGGAAAGCAAAACAGTCTCCAGGCCTGCTGAGCAGCGCAGCTGCTTCTCTGGCTAGACGAGGCCGGCAGGAGCAGTGGGTCCTCTCCTTTGCACCGCTGCCTTTAAAACAAGCCCCTGGGCTCGCTGGCTCCCGGGGAGTGCGTCTGCCTCCTTTTGTGACAGATTAACTGACGGCCGGAAGGAGCCCGGAGCGACACAGAGAAAGGGGAACTCATTTAGACAAGTAACTCCGCGTCTCAGTCACTGCTTCCTTCAAACAGACGCTTCAGGCCTTTGGATCCAAGAGATCAGTGGATTAAACCCACTGCCTGCGTGACCCAAGGGGCAGGAAATGCTACACAAATGCATAACTGCAGAGCAGTGGGGCTCTGACTGGCCAGGGAGGGAGCAGGAGACGGCTTGAGGAACTTGTAAAAGACGCAGGGAAACGCATCCATCGCCACCTGCAAACCACACGAGACCCATGCCAGAGCTGTGCAGGGACATGGATTTTTCCATCCCTTTGCATGGGGAGCAGCATCGTCTAGCAGACATGGCACGTGGCTAGGAGCCCAGGAGACCTGGGGGCAAGTCACATCATTTCTTGGTGCCTCTGGTCACCCTCCCACTCTTTGTCTTGTTAGATTGTAAGCTCTTTGGGGCAGAGAGCAGCCCTCACTAAGGGCTGGTCCCCACTTAGTCCGGACTTCGGACTAAGGTACGCAAATTCAGCTACGTTAATAACGTAGCTGAATTCGAAGTACCTTAGTCCGGACTTACCGCAGTCCAGACGCGGCCGGAAGTCTCTCCCCGTCGACGCCGCGTACTCCTCTCGGCGAGCTGGAGTACCGGCGCCGACTGTGAGCACTTCCGGGATCGATTTATCGCGTCTTAACCAGACGCGATAAATCGATCCCAGAACATCGATGGCGTGCCGCCGGACCAGCCGGTAAGTGAAGACTAGGCCTAAGAGTGTGTCTACACTGCCATGGGGAGTGTGACTGCACTAGGTGTAGACATACCTGAGCTAGGTTTGATCCAGCTAGCTCAAGTAACAACAGCTGCGAAGCCACCGCAGCATGGCTGGCTACCTGGGCTAGCCCCTCCTGCCCAGGGCCTCGGGTACATAGTCAAGGGGCCACGTCCCAAGCTGCTGCCTCTTCACTGCTATCACTGCTGGGGCTAGCTTTGAGCCAGGAGCTGCAGTCACGCCTCAGCGTCCTGCTGGGGCTGTGAGCTCCGCAGGTCGCGCTCCATACGCGCTGCATCGAGGTGTGGAGCCATTTATTGGGAGCCCCCATTCACACTTGCTGCAGCACTGTCGTGGTTTCCCTCGGCTGTTTATGGGCGGCAGTAAAACCTGAGCTCAAGTACAGAGCTCGTTTGCGGCTGTATTTCCCGTATATCACACGTCTGAGCATCTGGGGAGGTCCCTATCTGACGTTCATGGGCAGTTTATGGCTAGCTCCCGGCTGCAGTGTCGATATCCCTCAGTGTGTCTGGACAGTGCCTAGCGGGATGGGGCCCTGATCTCAGCTGGGGCCTTTAGGAGCTACCAGAACATAAGTAATAATATAAGGCTACCACACTGGAGAGTTTGTCCAATGGACACTGATACGTCAGGAAATAGCACTGTGTTTTGTCCAGTTACTCAAGATAGTTAAGTCCAAAGCAGACTGCGAAGAGCTACAAAAGGATCTCCCAAAACTGGGTGACTGGGCAACAAAATAGCAGATGAAATTCAATGTTGATAAATGCAAAGTAATTCATATTGGAAAACATAATCCCAACTGTACATACAAAATGATGGGGTCTAAATTAGCTGTGACCACTCAAGAAAGAGATCTTGGAGTCATTGTGGATAGTTCCCTGAAAACATCCACTCAATGTGCAGCGGCGGTCAAAAAAGCAAACAGAAGGTTAGGAACCATTAGGAAAGGGATAGATAATAAGACAGTAAAAATCATAATGCCTCTATACAAATGCATGGTACGCCCACATCTTGAACACTGCATGCAGTTCTGGTCGCCCCATCTCAAAAAAGATATATTAGAATTAGGGCCATCGATTAATCACAGTTAATTCACGCAATTAACTCAAAAAAATCAAAGCAATTAAAAAAATTAATCGCAATTAATCGCACTGTTAAATAATAGAATACCAATTGAAATTTATTAAATATTTTTGGATGTTTTTCTACATTTTCAAATGTATTGATTTTAATTACAACACAGAATACAAAGTGTACAGTGTTCACTTGATATTATTATTTTTTATTACAAATACTTGCACTATAAATTCACCTCATACAAGTACTGTAGTGCAATCTCTTTATTGTGAAAGTGTAACTTACAAATGTAGATTTTTTTTGTTACATAACTGCACTCAAAAACAAAACAATGTAAAACTTTAGAGCCTATAAGTCCACTCAGTCCTATTTCTTGTTGAGCCAATCACTCAGACAAACAAGTTTGTTTACATTTACGGGAGATAATGCTGCCTGCTTCTTATTTACAATATCACCTGAAAATGAGAACAGGTGTTCTCATGGCACTTTTGTAGCCGGCATTGCAAGGTATTTACGTGCCAGATATGCTAAACATTCATATGCCCTTTCATGCTTTGGCCACCGTTCCAGAGGACATGCTTCCATGCTGATGATGCTCGTTAAAAAAATAATGCGTTAATTAAATTTGTGACTGAACTCCTTGGGGAGAATTGTATGTCCCCTGCTCTGTTTTACCTGCATTCTGCCATATGCTTCATGTTCTAGCAGTGTCAGATGATGACCCAGTACATAGAATCATACAATCATAGGACTGGAAGGGACCTCTAGAGGTCATCCAGTCCAGTCCCCTGCACTCATGGCAGGACTAAGAATTATCTAGACCATCCTTGACAGGTATTTGTCTAACCTGCTCTTAAAAATCTCCAAAGATGGAGATTCCACAACCTCCCTAGACAATTTATTCCACTGCTTAACCACTCTGACAGTTAGGAAGCTTTTCCTGACGTGCAACCTAAACCTCCCTTGCTGCAATTTAAGTCCATTGCTTCTTGGCCTAGCCTCAGTGGTTAAGAAGAAAAAAATTTCTCCCTCCTCCTTGTAACAACCTTTTATGTACTTGTTCATTTTAAGAACACTTTCACAGCAGATTTGACAAAATGCAAAGAAGGTACCAATGTGAGATTTCTAAAGATAGCTACAGCACTTGACCCAAGATTTAAGAATGTGAAGGCTGTCCAAAATCTGAGAGGGACGAGGTGTGGCGCATGCTTTCAGAAGTCTTAAAAGAGCAACTCTCAGCTGCAGAAACTACAGAACCCGAACCACCAAAAAAGAAAATCAACCTTCTGTTGGTGGCATCTGACTCAGATGATGAAAATGAACATGCGTCGGTCCGCACTGCTTTGGACTGTTATCGAGCAGAACCCGTCATCAGCATGGACGCATGTCCTCTGGAATGGTGCTTGAAGCATGAAGGGACATATGAATCTTTAGCGCATCCGGCACATAAATATCTTGTGACCCCAGCTACAACAGTGAATGCAATCGTCTGGTCTCACTTTCAGGTTACGTATACAAGAAGCAGGCAGCATTATCTCCTGCAAATTGTAACCAAACTTGCTTGTCTGAACGATTGGCTGAAGTAGGACTGAGTGGACTTGTAGACTCTTAAGTTTGACATTGTTTTATTTTTGAATGCAGGTTTTTTCGTACATAATTCTACATTTGTAAGTTCAACTTTCATGATAAAGAGATTGAATTCCAATACTTGTATGAGGTGAATTGAAAAATACTGTTTCTTTGGTTTTTTACAGTGCAAATATTTGCAATAAAAAATAAATATAAAGTGAGCACTCTACACTTTGTATTCAGTGTTGTAATTGAAATCAGTGTATTTGAAAATGTGGGAAACATCCAAAAATATTTAAATAAATGATATTCTCTTATTGTTTAACTTTTTTTAATCACATGATTCATCGTGATTAATTTTTTTAATCGCTTGACAGCCCTAATTAGAATTGGAAAAAGTCCAGAGAAGGGCCACAAAGCTGATTTTCGAGTATGGAACAGCTTCCATATGAGGAGAGGTTAAAAAGACTGTTCAGGTTCCAAAGGAGACAGCTATGGGGTGGGGGGATACAGGGCTGGCTCCAGGGTTTTGGCTGCCCCAAGCAGACCAAAAAAAAAAAAAGCCGCGATCGCGATCTGCGGCGGCAATTTGGCGGGAGGTCCTTTGCTTCCAGCGGGAGTGAGGGACCGTCCGCCGAATTGCCGCCGAATACCTGGACGTGCCGCCCCTCTCCGGAGCGGCTGCCCCAAGCACCTGCTTGCCAGGCTGGTGCCTGGAGCCGGCCCTGGGGGGATATGATCGAGGTCTATAAAATCCTGACTGGTGTGGAGAAAGTGAATAAGCAAGTGTTAATTTACCCCTTCACACAACACAATGACCCAAAGAAGTTAATAGGCAGCAGGTTTAAAACAAACATAAGGAAGTACTTCCTCACACAACGCACAATCAGCCTGTGGAACTCATTGCCGGGGATGTTGTGAAGGCCAAAAGTATAACTGGATATGAAAAAGAATTAGATAAGTTCCTAGAGGACAGGTCCATCAATAGCCAAGATGATCACCACTCCTCTGGGTGTCCCTAAACCTCTGACAACCAGAAGCTGTACCTCCGTAAGGCACCACTATACTAACACACCTGTGGCCATACTTGGGTTGTACCAATGTAGCTATGTCAGTAATCATCCCCTACCCAACAGAGTTATACCAGTGCAAACAGTGTGTGTAGACCAGGCCCCACCCCCGCATTTCCCCACAAGGTCCCCTTGGATTTGTGATCAGAGCTCTGGGCTGGAACCCCTTGTCCTGACCACCCTGCTGGCTGCGAGTGACATGGCTTCGGGCATTATGTCCAGCAAAGGGCCACGTGCCGCCTTCCACCATGTCACTAGCATGGAGCACGGACGGAGTCTACACTTGAAAACTGGACCAGTCTAACTAGGGGTGTGAATCAAAGGACTCGAGCAGTGAGGACACTATGCAGCGGATCTGTCTCAGGAAGTCACCCGCTTACCAATCTGTGCTGCATGGTCCCACCCCATTGGCCAGCTGTACCCTCCTGTGCTGTCCTAACCCCTTCTCCCCTCTCCTCATTTCCTGCACAACCAGATACCCATGGAGTGCTACCGCCCCCCCCCCCTCCATCCCCTCCGAGGCCGTTGCTTAGCCTATCTCCACTCAGGGGTCTTTCGCGTCCTACGTTCTGATTCTTACACCTCCCGAGTTGTTTTTGTTGCTCTTCTTGGAGCTCCCTCTGATGTGCCCTCCTCTGTCTGGCAGGAAATGACTCAGAAAAAAAGAATTCATGGAGGGTAGGTCTATCAATGGCTGTTAGCCAGGATGGGCAGGGATGGTGTCCCTAGCCTCTGTTTGCCAGAAGCTGGGAATGGGCGACAGAGGATGGATCACTTGATGATTCCCTGTTCTGTTCATTCCCTCTGGGGCACCTGGCATTGGCCACTGTCAGAAGACAGAATACTGGGCTAGATGGACCTTTGGTCTGACCCAGTCTGGCCGTTCCTCCATTCCTATGTAGACCCGAGCTTTCACCCTCCCCCACCCTCTCGCTTGCGCAGTGCTCAGAGCTGTGAGGACACTTGCTGTGACGCTGCAGCTCAGGCCAGAACCTGGGCTCTCAAGCCTGGAGGCGGGGCAGAGGGTTTCACCCCTTCAGTGACCCGGGGTAGATATGCCCTTGTCCCGTACCTGGGGTGCGTCTGTGGGGGCCAAGGTAGCAGCCGGCGGCAGCAAGACCGTGCTTTTCTCTGTGACGACCACGGTCCTGGAGGTGCTCGACTTTGGGCCGGCTCTGGGCCTGGCAGTGCTGGGGGTGACGAGCCGGGATGTGGCAGCCTCCGTGACAGTGCTGGCTTCCGTCACAGCTGCGGTCGGCATTTCCAGGGTGGTGGCCCGCGTTGTGGCCGTCGTCGTGACGAAGGGAGGCAGGATCCTCCGGACGGTTGTTGGCTTGGCAGTGGGAGCGGTGGGGCTGGCGGCAGCAGCTGCCGTTGCGGGTGGCGGGGTGTCACTGGCCGTGGCACTGGGGGTAGTTGCTTTCCAGCTGGGAATCGCCGGTGCCTCTGTCACCCTGGGGATGTACAGGACGCTGGTCACCTGCTCAGGGGTGGTTTCCTCTGCAGGCAGCATTTCAAAGGGAGTTGCCACGGGCTGCACGGATGTGACGGGCAGCACGGCCGGGGTGGTGGGGAGCGTGTCCGTGCGGAGCCTCACCGCCGTCTCAATCCCAGACTCCTGCTCAAAATCTACAATGGAGGCAAAAGCGAGGCTGTGAACGTGCTGCTGCCCGGGCAGAGAAGCACCCAGGGATTTCCCCGAGAAGTCACGAGCCCCAGAACTGGGATCGGGGTTTCCAGCATGCCCAGGGCTTGGGGCTGACTGCCCTACAGCAGTAGTTAAGGGGATCTGTGTGCCAGCTATAGAGAGGAGAAGGGTGCACACTGTGACGCGGGCAGACCAGGTGCCAGCTTGTGCCAAGGCCCGTAGGCCTCACTGAACACTGCCAAATGCAGAGCGGGCCACCAGTTCGGCCCACCTGTGTGTTAGTATTGCTAAAACAGGGATTAGCTTTTAGAGATGTGCCTAGTGTTTGGACTTTAAGAAATGCTTAGAAGTTGCTACCTGCATTAATCTCACTGATCAGATCGGTATCCCAGGCTCTAAGGTAATATTTAAGTGTTTGCTTTAGAACTATAAAAATGTTTGCCCTGAAACCAGAAACCCCTCAGCCAGGAAAGAAGCATTACCGAGTGTGAAATACTAGTTTACAGAGAAGGTGTCAGGTCTTGCCCACAAGAAGGCCCATGGGAACCAAATGAGCCAAAGGAGAAAAGACTTGGTTGATAGCTCACCCCACCCCATGGAGATGAGGCGTGCAAGTGGGCTCGTCCCATCAGCGTGGACTCTGGGGGAAGGGAATAAAAATCCCTGATGGGAAGGAACGGCATCTTATGCTGCTTGGACTCTGAGGGGCAAGAATGTCTAAGCAAAAGCAAAAGATCCCCAGGCTTGGCCTGGGTTAGCCCTAAGAGACAAACAGAGCTTGCTTATTAGACAAGCTTTGATTAGCTTTTAGAACCTCATTTGTGTGTGAATGTTTCCCTGTTTTAACCTTGTAAATAACTCTCATTTCTTTCTGTTAGTCAATAAACCTTTCGCTAGTTTCTCATAGAATTGGCTACAAACCTTGTCTTTGGTTTGAGATCTGAGGTGCAATTGACCTGTGGTAAGTGCCTGGCCCTTTGGGACTGGGGAGTAAGCTGAATATTGTGATTTTGGGGGTAAGGGACCATCTATCACAAAGGCAGGCTTGCCTGCATGGCAAGATAGATCAGAGTGCCCAAGGGGACTGTCTGTGACTCCAGGGTCAGGCTGTTATAGGGCATGAGGAGTTCACACTTGACACTTGGGAGCTCACAACCAGTCTGGGGTTTGTGCCGTGGTTTCTAACAGCCGGCCCTGCGGCTGGTACCCACGGCCGTGAGCCACTCCAGACACCCTGATGCCTCCCAAAGGCAATGAGCCCCATGTAACACTGACACGTGCCAGCACCCTGCCAACGCCGCAGGGCCTGTTTGCGAAGGCCAGGCACAGAACTCCCAAGAGCTGCTGTCAGCAGGGGAACCTCGCCCTGGGGGCTGGGAAAGGGCACGTGCCCATGGGGATGGGTGAGCTGTAATTTACTCTCTTCTCTGGAGCCGAACGAAGGACACTCTTGATGCTCTAGTCACCTCATAGGCCGAGCACTGAAGGCAACGGCAGAGCTCCCAGGATTCAGCCAGGGAGCTCTTATCTGATCCCCTCCCCTAGGGGCCTTTACTCTATACTTACATCCCGAGCCAGACCCCGAGTAGAGGTCGTCACTTTCATCATCCGCAAAGGGGTCGTCATCCCCTGACCCTTCCAGGTCCACGGGCCTCTCGTAGTTTTCGTTACGCCAGCGCTGTGCCTGGAATCAAGCAGAGGAGAGAGAGTCATGTAGGGAACTTACTAGGAGCAGCGTTATATTGTCACACAACGGCCCTGCCTCAGATCAGCACCCCGTTGTGTCAGGCGCTGCACGTACACAGAGTTAGAAACAGTCCCCACGCTGAAAAGCAATACACTGCAATAGACAAAGGGTAGGAGGAGGAGCAGAATGAGCTGGAAATAGAGCCCACGTAGGGTGACCGGATGTTAAGGGGAAAATATCAGGACCGCCGCAGGGGAAGGCATTTTTTTTTACACTCACCCGTCCGGGAGTTCGATGGCAATTCGGCGGAGAGCCCTTCAGTCGCGGACGGTCTTCGGCGGTATTTCAGCGGCGAGTAATAAACCTTACCGCCAAAGACAGAAGCACCCGCCGCCAAAATACCGCCGAAGACGGTCTGCGACTGAAGGACTCTCCGCTGAATTGTTGCCAAAGACCAGGAAACAAAATATCGGGACAAATGGCGTCCTGACCGTACTCTGGTCGGGACGTGGGACAAACTCCTCAAAATCAGGACACTCCCGATTTTATCGGGACGTCTGGTCACCCTAAGCTCGTGGGACCATGTCCAGTGCCCTACCCATTGGACCACACTGCCACTCACCTACGGCCCATGTTCTGGATGCACGCAACCCCCTCGGAGACTGTTAGGAGCTGCAGGCTGCTGCCCATATGTCACTGGGAGGGCTTGTAACAAGGGGTAAAATTTCCCAAAGTACCTATGTGATTTAGGATCATAAGCCCCATCTTCAAAATTGACACTTAGGGATCCTAACTCTTCTTGAAAGTCAATGGGATTTAAGCTCGTAAGTGCCTAAGTCACTTCTGAAAATGGGGCTTGGGCACCTAAGTCACTTAAGTGCTTTTGAAAATGTGACCCAAGGTCTCTGTTTGGGCCTAGAGCCTCTGTCTCTGGAGCTATTAATGTTCTGCATTATTATTATCATCCATTATTTATCTCAGTAGTGTCTAAAATGTGCCAGGCACGTTCCAAACGCAGAGGAAGACACCGTCCTTGCTCCACAAATAATCCACAGTCCCAGAGTTTTGAAATTCCTCCTGCTGTGCTATTTTCAAAGAGGAACTCAGTATTATCCAATGAACTTCACTCTGCAGAGTGAATAGTACAGCTCCCTCTAGAACCGGACAGGCAAAATGAATGTGAAGTTTTGAGGGGGGAGGGGGGGAGGCAGATGTGCTTTGTAATGTATTAACTTACAAAGGGAAACTCAGTGATTATTACGAACATCACAGCAGAGGCGCCAACCAAGATCAAGGTCCCCCCGGTGTGTACAAACGCCCAGTGAAGCTGGCCAGCCCAGACACCTCTCTCTTTGCTGCTAGCGTAGGCGAACGGAAGGTGCTAAGTGAAACTCACCAAACTGGTCAATTTCCCTGTGAAGGCACAGTGCGAGGAGGGGGGTGGGAGCTCCTTGGGACAAGGAAGTGACAGGATGTAGAGTGGGAGAGGCGATAGCAGGGGAGCAGGCGCAGGTGGGAGAGAAGTGAGGGCTTGGTGGGAGGTTTATAGCACCTAGGGATCTCAGATAGAGAGCCTGGCTAGTCCATAAAATAATGCCCCTTCCGAGGCCGGGAGAGCTCGATGTCAGCGGTCAGAGTGCAGCACGTGTTAGGGAATCCTAGACCCCGCAGATGTATATTTCAGGCTTTTCTTTTCTTCCATCTATTGAAGGGTCCCAGTAGCGCTCCTAGGCCTTTCGATCCATCCCCTTCCAGTGGAGGGAGCCTCTTCCCTCGGACTGACTCAATCAGAGGAGGAATCCATCGCTTTGATGGAGGCCCGTGCTGGGTGCAGTTGACAAGGTAGGTAAGACGATGTCCTAGTTGGTCTTCCCCATCTCTAAGTTTTATGCTTTGAGTCTCCGCTTGCCATCAGCCAACAGGCTCGGCCACAGATTTATTGGTAATGACGCAATCACAGGTAGGGCTTAGAATAAGGGTCTGCCACAAAACAATACCCTTAAAGGGCATCTAGGATCAGAAGAGTGCCGTACAGTTTATGGGAGGGTCCATGTTAGTGTCTTATAGAGCTGGATTTTCAGAGCGCAGGGCCTTGTGCAAAAGCGTTTGTGCAATTGCACGCCTAGCTGGCACGACTGCAGTAAGCGCATGAGCACGCCAGGCATCGCCCCCTGCAGTCAGACAGCTACATAGCTACTTGCCCAGGTAAACGCCCCATTTCCACATGCAGTCTTAGCAACCAGGTCAGCAATTGCCGGTACATTTTTACCTGGTCTCCGTCTCTCACCGAATCTCCCTCTGCTCCTCTCACTGCACCTGCTTATCTGGCCCCAGCCTCCCCTGTGCGTCTCCCTGCAATCTCACCATGGCTGGTGCAACAGTCTTCTCTTCCGCACACCTGCACCTTGGCACAGCCTCCTTGGATCTTTTTCCCTGGCCCAGCTCAGCTAAAACTTCTTCTTTCTCCCTTGCCTACAGCTGTTAGTGTCTCTCTCTGGCCAGGTCTACACTACAGACCTAGGTCAGTAAAACTGTCGCTCGGGTGTAAAATACCCACACTCCTAAGCAACGTAGTTATACCGATCTTAGCCCCCCCGGGGTAGACAGCGCTATGTTGGTGGGAGAGCTTCCCCCATCAACAGAGCTACTGCCTCTCCTGGAGGTGGATTAAATACACCACGAGCCTTCCCCTCAGCACAGCAGCATCTTCACCTAAGCGCTACAGCCGTGCAGCTGCGCCCATGCGGCGTTTGAAGTGTCGACCTGCCCTTGCTCTCTCCCGCATTTGTTACATTTTGGCCATAACTTGCATTATTTAATTCCCTGACTCTGGAAGCCCCTGTCCAAAAGAAGGGCTCGATCCCTCTGGATGCCGAGTACCCTCCACGCCTGCCGGAGACCAGGGGAGCTGAAAGCAGGATCGGGCTCTGCAATTGCATCCAGCACATCAAGAAAACTTCCAGATGGACGGAAACCTGGCGCACAGCTGTCCCAGCACGTGGGAGTCCCGCAGACAAATACATCCCCTGCACACCTACCATGGGCTCTCCTCTCTCTCTCTCTCTCATTGGGCGCCATTCGGAGTCAAAGCCTCCGAGTAAAGATCTAAGCCCCAGGCCCCCCCACGCAAAGACTCTCCCTCTGCGCTTGGGGGCCGACGCACGAGAATCATACGCGGAAAGTTTATTTGGGTTTCCGACAGCCATAGCAGAGACCCAGCCAGCGGGGTTTGCCCACAATGGGCTCATTGACTGACAAGCCCCTGTCTCCCTTCCTGGCTCTGGCTGTACCTGGAAGGGGGTCCGTCACGGTGCCAAGTCTAGCTCCAGGCGAGAGGGTTCGCTGTCCATCCCGTCAGCTGCCTGTGGGGTGTAATCAAAAGTCTCTGTCTGGAACGTTTTACTGGGGGGGGATTGTTAATGATCTCTGCAAGGGAGTGGGCTGTCCAATTACGATGCCAGTTTCTCCCAACCGGGTCAAGGGTCTTTGTACGGCAGCTAGAAACTCTCCTGTACCTTGACCTTCCAGTACATTAAAGCTGACTGACGCCCGCGTAGTACGTCAGTCTTGTTAAAACTCTGGCTCCCGCAGTGTCTCTCTGAATGGCTCCCATT